ACCAGACAATGTGTTCCCTGATTGGAGAACCGCATTATCGACGCCTACACAGACAGAAGATATCTTAATTACATACTATAAGACTTAATGTAAATAGCATACTATTTCAAATGTGGTGAATAGAGAAAAAGGAATAATGGTATGTAACAAAATGTTATTATACCTTTGTCTGGGTCAGTGTAGTGTTTCCATCAGCCAGACGGGGGGAACCATGAGCGCCTTCCTTGCCATCTATTAAAATAAAAAATGTATAGCAAGTTATATAATTAGAGACTTGTTACAGAGAAAGTGTGTAAACTAGCTACTTACCTTGGTTTATGGTTGGTTCGTTGGTGGTACCAGATAATGTGTTCCCTGATTGGAGAACCACATTATTGACGCCTACACAGACAGAAAATATCTTAATTACATACTATAGACGTAATGTAAAATAGCATACTACAGGAGATAGTCTGAATAACATAATATTTCAAATGTGGTGAATAGAAAAAAAGGAATAATGACACATTGTTGTAGAAGTCTTTACCTTCATAACTTGTAGGAGCCTGTTCTTTCCCAATTGGCTGAGAAAGTTCTTGAGATTGAAGAAGCTTGAAGCTAGAAGTAGAAACAACCACTGATTGTGCATGTCTCTACATGCAAGCCAAACTAAAAATGTTAGGAATAAGAGTGGTATTTGTTTGAGCTAAAGCTGGTTAGTGAAAAAATCAATTACATACCTCGGGAGTCTTATGAACATCAGGTGGATGACTGTTTCCTTGAACAAGCTCCTCTTCGGCATTCGCAGCTAGTACTGACTGAACAACATCCATGACTGTAGTATCAAGATCATCTGAGGCGGGAAGTACTAATTCTTCATACGTATCATCTGATTCAACAGAGCTACTATCATCCAAACATGTGGCCGGGGATTTTGCTCTTTTCCGTTTTACCTTTTTTTAAAGGTAACTCAGCTTCAGATTCAGCGTCAGACCCATCATTATGGCTATCACTGTCAGTTCCGGAATCTTTTTCTTTCTCCTCAGATGTTCCATTGGAGGAGGACTCATCCTCTCTGAGGTACCGTTACTAACACCAAAGTTCTTCTCCTCGCTGATAAGTTCATTCAAAATAGCAGTTGAATCACCCTTTTGAAGAACTGAGATGAGTGTGGTCCGTATGGTCTTAGTAATAATACTAGATATCCTGGACTCTACCCGTGCAGCAATGCGTTCTACTAAATCATCGTCAACTGTAAGCTTTCCTTTACCCTTCGTCTTAATATCTTGGGCACGAACACCACCAACCCAAGAATTGGGAGTGAACGTATGCCCTTTCTCAATCAACTCCAAAAGATAGAGGACCGATTCATCAACTACATCAGGCAGTTTGCAGTCATCTTCAGGAAAATCACCAGATCGTGCCGGTAAAATCGGAATAACATCAGGCTGTTTAAGAAAATAAAATAATGAATAAGTGTTCATATGTGATACACTAATGCAATGCTTAATAAGACTTATAGTAGTTAATGTTATTACCTTGAACTCTTTCTCAATTCTCCGGACAAAAGGGACATCGAGAATAGTGGTTGTCATAGCACCATCTCTGGTTCTGTTAACATTTGTAGTGCTCCTCCTCTGCCCTTTTTTCCGGATTGGGGGGTTGTTAAGATGTTGTTCATCATTGTTACAAACTAATTGTGGTATGCAATCCAAAATGACAAGTTGGAAGCCATGGGGGAACCCTTGGAACTTAACAGATGTCTGAACATATTTATCTATTTTTCGAGCTTTTATAGATGCCATCGTTAGAATGAATGACGCTCTCCCCCAAGGATGCTTTAAAAATTGAGGGACATCATCAACCATCTTAATGTGATCTTCCGGAATAAGCATTTGCCCGGAGGTAGGGAGAAGCAAACCATCTACGATAAGCAACAAAGCTAGTTTTAACCTCCACTCCTTTTGATCAGCCTTTTTGGAGAGTAAAAGATCGCTTATATCACCAGGCTTGACTTTTGCATCTTCTCCAAATAACTTCACCCAAAAATCAGGCATATCGTCTCCCACAGCTTCACCCTTCCCCTTTTCCTTTCCTTAACGCTTA